AAGTTGTTTAAGATCAACTGAAAAATTGTATTTATGCTTCAATACACTCCTGCCACTGTACATCAAAAGTGGAATAACTTACAACTCATGTCAACAACTGAAGCATGATCCAATGCCAAGAAACAGCTGTATCTAAACACCAAACCCCCCCCCAAAAAAAAACCAAACCAACACAAAACCAAAAACACACACACAAAAAAACAACAACCCAAAGCACTTCCTTACTCAGCCCTGCTTCCTTTGTGTATCTAGAGTTTTCTGTGACTCCATAGAAATAATATGTGCTGTGCAGAGCCCCTGCAGGAAGGCAGGGTTGCTTCCACCCTCTGCTGAGCCTCAGCACCAGCCCTGCTTTGTCACCATCAGCTGCATTACCTGGAAGCCATTTCTTCCAATTCCCACTGTCCCAAGCCAGAGTGTCTCTCTCAAGTTACCTGTGCCTTAGACTTCATTAAAGACACAACCATCTAGCCCACAGAGCAGCTGCAAATCTGTCACAGTTTACCATCAGTCTGCCAAGATCACAGTCCAAAAAGCACCAGCCCCTGGAACCTGTCACAACCACTGACCTCTCATTCCCTGTGCTAGTAAAAAATGCTAATCTCAGGAGAGGGCTATTCCACATCATGAAGACAAAAGAAGCAAAAAATCCCAGTCAGGTGCCTCTGAACATCAGAAAACAAACAGATTGCACAGATGCTGATGATGACCTCATCTGGCCCACAAAAACTTTTTTAGAGGGATGATGATGCTCAGAGCACAGCAGAATGAGTTGAATTAGGAGCAATTCTTCTTCATCTTGACAACTAATAAAAACAAAAACAAAACAGCTATCACAGCCCTACAGTCTCTTCCAAAGCTCAAGAGCAATTGTCTGACCCAAAGACCTAAAAAATGGCACCCACTTCAGTTGCCCTCTCTCTCCCTTTCCCCATTCACCCATTAGAAAAATTACCCTCAAATTAAAAATTAACAGATTATCAGATTAAACAGAAAATTAACAGATAGAAAATGCATTAGCAGGCTCCTCCTGAAGACACACAACTCAAAGAATATGAAACTAGCAGCTGAAGTCTTTGTAAACAAAACACAAGCAACATTTCATCCCCCCAAATTTACAGTTTAGTTATTACTAAAAGCACAAGCAAAGACCAAGATACAACTGTTCTACATCAACAGTGACACAATCGCTATCCAGCTCCTCACAGCAACAGAGTCCAACCGTGGAAAGAAAAAAAAGCACCCACACCATTAAAGTAATGGGAATAGGTGAAGAATTATTCAAATCACAACATTGTCAGGTCTTGACAGTCATACCTACACTGCAAGATACAGTCTCCAGCTCACCAAGAGCAGCTCCCACAGCTTCACAGGGCTTTTAAAGATACCACCTTGAACTGTACACCATGCCACAACAATGTAGGAACTACTAGCAAATAACAAACAATGGTATTTATAAATCTCCTAGATAGTTTTCTGCAGTTTTACTGCCATTCTAAACAACATCAAATTCCAGCTTGCCCAGGCAGTCCAGAATGAGTTCTAAGACACCACAGCTGCAGCCCAATGAGGAAGCAAAACCCAAGAACTTGTGGGTGACACCTTCAGTAATCTTGCTTCCTCCTAGATGACATGAACAGTTACACGATGGAAAACATTGCTTTGTACTGTCTTTAGCTCTAAAAAGCCCAGAAAACCACTGGCCCTCCTACTTTGGAGAGCAAATCCACATCTACTTTGTGGTCCCTGGCCTTGAGGGGGCCCAGAAGATGTGGACAGTCCGTGCAAAAAGCAGTGCATGGGACATTCAGAAACCTCTCTTTCCCTTATGTGTTCAATGGAGATGGTGCAGAGACTGGACATAACCTGACCTTCAGCACCTCAAAGTTCAGGAAACACAGACATGAAGGAGTCAATACTCACACTTCTCCAACCACCAGCAAATGCACTAGTTCCAACTGCCTTCAGAGAAGACCTTCTGCTACCACCTGCCATAAGGTTATTCAGAATTGCCTCATACATAGTATTGCTCTTCAGATTTCAGCTCCTGGAAGCCAGCAATTAACTGACAAACTCATCTGTCATTTCAAGAGATAAAGCCTAAGTCTCCTGACTTCTGTGTGCCATCTGATTTATTAATATATAATTCACACTCTTGAAAAGGCTGAAATTGCCACTACTGGCATATTTACATCCTACTACTTCATAAGTTGTCAAAAAATCTGCTAGTTTTTAGTCAGTTATTATATGCAAATCCCAACTTTATAACATTTCTAGACAGCTCGAGCATTATCATGGGTACATTTTATACCTCTTCCATTTAATTTTAAAAGACACTGAACTGGAACTGGTCTGGAATAACTCAGTATGAACAATACCCTCCTTCATAAATCTGTCAAACATTGTTTTCCAAATCTAATGACAAATCGTCTACATTTTGTTTTCATTTTTTATGGAGCTGCATATATTAAAACATAGAGCCTTATGAATCATCTTCACAGCCAACCAAGCAATTTAGTAATCTTGGATGCAGTTTATTTAGCCTGAAATAAGCTTTGCTTTGATTATCTGCAAACTACTATGTGTATCTATTTCGGAATGTAGGGAAGATTCTGACACTCGTGGAGAATAAAAACATGCTCTAATAACATGAGTACATTATGTGGATAACTATATACTTTATAACTTAAGTATTCATGATCACAAACCTATACTAGACAAACTACAAAATGATTCCAGCATTCCCTAATTCACTCCATCAGTCCTAGCATTGCATAGATCGAAGGACTTTTCACTACACAGCAGTGAAAAAGAAAAGTGAATATAATAGGCTAACATTTTCTGGTCACTTCAAAAGCAGTTGTTCCATTCACTGCAGCTGCCCTCCTTCAGAGGAAACACAGATTTGCTCTGCTTGCTAGGCCAGCACCAGAAAGATACCATCTGAGTACATTCAGTTGCTTCTCAGCATCTTCTGCAGATGTATTTCCAAAGACTGTGCTTTGGACTGTGGGAACACTGTTCATAACAGAGACCAAGCTGACTGCCTGCAGTTTGGAGCACATACTTTGTACCTGTCCTCCTCAGCTCTCACCACCTGTATTCTTCAGCTGCATGGCTCACCGTCATCCTCCTCCAGAGAGCAGCTCCATCCCCTGAGCAAGTCTCAGCAGGACACCCCACGTTCAGTGATCAGATGTGTTGCCATGAACAAAGCCTTTGTGCTGGCAGTGCCTGCACGGGGCCCGGGTCTGAGCCAGCCCAACATTTCTCCATGGCGTGAGGCGCGAGTGCGGCGCTTCCCCTCAGCCTTGCGTGACCCCGTCCCTCAGTGCCTCGCTTAGATGTTGCAGCTACTCCAAGTACAGAATGAGCCAAGATTGAAATCACCCATTATCCAGAATCCCCAGACCCTGGTCCCTTGCATGCTCAGTAGAGAGCAGACTTTGAGTACAGTTGTAATAATCATCAACATTTCTTACACGTTTTGGCAACTGACATTCTAGCGAAGCACACGGTCGCTCAGAACGCTTTATTTTGCGGCAAAGAAGCAAACTATGTTGGTCCTTCCTGTTTCTACCATGATTAAGCAGCTGATTCACTCTCAGCATCCTTAAAAGATGACTAGATTGAAATTTTTCCTCTCCCAACATAAAATAAATGCAGGCATGAAAAGAAAGGCAACTATTTCAGAGGCCATTTGGGAGCTTTAGGATCTCTTTACGTGTAGCAAACTAACTACACAGACAACAGCACCCCTGAGTATCTTCTGGCTTCTAATCTACCCATGTGAACCCCTCAGCCTCTATTTTTAATTCAGTAGGACTGACCTCAGTATCTGCATGACAATCTCAGAAACAACAGAGCAACAAGGAGTTGCATGAGAAAGACCCTGCTTCTGACATAAGCATAAATTTTAAAAATGCAGTATGGGAAAGCAGGAAATCCCCAGAACTGCTTCAGCAAAAGATTTTTTCCAGAATCTTTGAAAGAGTATCTACAGCTTCAAAGGGAAATCAAAATGCAGTCACAGTAGATCTGCCATCAGAGGATGGACAACAAAATGTAACACACATTCGAAGTGCTGGAAATGAGAGAAAGGTGAAGAGTCCTGCATTCCCGTGCCGGGGCTCCCTCTGCATTCCTCCTGGAATAGAAAGAGCCTGCACCAGTGGAAAGACTCATCACGCCGGAGCTTGTTGGCAGTGGGATGTAAAGGAGTAGCAAGACCAGACAGCTTCCTCCAGTGCTGCTACTCTTCTGATGTACCTCCAAGTGTTCAGCAGCATGGACTTTTCCTTCCTCTGTCTTCTTCCACCAAACGGGAACAACACAAACTCGGTTCCCTATTTTATCGCATCATTTTATCACATCTCCTCTTAGATTGTTCTTAGGAAAGGTCTCACAGTGAAAAAACAGTGTTCTAGGCTAGTTCTTCTAACTAAATAAGGACTGCATTGCACAGTGTGCACACCTTGTTAGAGCAGACAGTGTTCAGTTGTTGTAGGACTGGTAGTTCTGCTTTGATATCACAGTGACAAAGGTAATAATGGAAATAAAAAACTTCACAGCCTGCCTGCAGAGCAGGGTTAATTGACACCTCTGTCTCAAAAAGTACTGCTATTTTACTCTCAGCTGAGCTCTCCACCCAATCCAGGCCAAATTTAGCCATCAGTGATGTTAATTTGCACCAGCCACCTATTAAACAATTTTGAAGAAGAAAAAATAACCACAGGACAGAAAAAACAGGGCAGAGGGAAGTTAGTATGAAAGCCAACACACTTATCTGGTCTGTGGCTGCAAAGAGACACAAAAACAGGGCAGAAGGAAGGGGCACAGAGTTTCACAGGTGACACCATTTTGCATTACATAGAAAAGACAGCAAAACAGGCATAAACCAGGCCATTATGGGAACAAGATTTTCCACCATCTTAAATGGTCATTTTAGCAAAATCAGCTTTATCAAGAACAGTGTCATAGATTTAAAAAGGTGTCCAAACCTTATAGACTTGTCCATATGTCCCATTCCCAACAACCTGCACCAGTTCAAAGATTCCTGCAGGGTCCTGCAAAAAGCAAAACATTATTTGCAGCAAAGCAACCAATTCAAAATGGAGCAGAACTGTACACAATCCAAATTAAAATGTCTGTGGCACATGTAAAACACCTGTGGCACATCTCCTAATGATCTGTATTACAAACTAAAGTGGAAATAGCCAAATAGTAGTATAAGAAATACAATAATATTGAAGTTTTCAGACAAGCTGTTCAAAACTTGATGCACGAACAACTCAGGGAAGCTTTGTAGCACAGCAAAACAGCATATAAAAGATTGAGGTTAGCAGTAATTTAAGGAATAAACTTGAAGCTCCCTAAATCTTGAAACACTGAGTGGTCTGGAGGCGGAGCTGCTGCCTTCTGCAATGAAAACACTCAGCACCTGCAATGTAACAAAGAAAAGAACCCAAAACAACAGAATTGAAAATAAAAACCACTAGATGAATCACCCGAGCCAAATGACTTTACAAAAGGGAAATGAACCATCCCAGGCAACCTTAACACCACAGGTAGGCTGAGAAAGCTCAATTGTTCTATTTTGCAAACATAACAAGGTGAATTTGACTGATGTATTGAAGTTTTGGCTTTGAACCTGAACTAGAGTGCTGTTAATCTACCCAGAAGACTCATGTGTCAGAGGATCAGTGTATCATACCACTTGAGACAACTTTTGTCCTACTGACTGAGCACTAGTTGCTCTAAAACCACCCACTGCAGCAAATGTCCTTCTCCAATAATGAGACACTGCAGCCTTTCAGATGTAGAAAGACCATCTTGTTGCAAGGCATGGGCAAGTAAATGTTCACTCCTGCATGACTGAGCACATTAAGAAATCTGTTGCTTCAGTTAAAACTCCCTTGAGAGATTTATATGAAAACATTAAGAACTCAAGGGACCAGTTTCTTGGTTTCTGGCTGGGCCATTTATCAGTCTGCTCATTTCTTGGGATGATATCATTGAGAGATTTATATAAAATATTATTAACTCCATGTGTCAGTTTTACCACGTCTGTTTCAGCAATCTGTCTCATTAGCTGATGCCCATTGGTACTACTGAGCAATGCAACACAGAAAACCATTATCTCCAGAGTACAATTTATATGACCCCAGTTGCAAAACTTCCTTTTTTTTTTTTTTTTTTTTAAAGGTATCAGACTACTTTTTCATTCCACTTGTATGTTTTTCTTTTAGTATAAATAATGCTTTCCTCTAATCTGATATGGAAAAGTTTACTTGGGCAAAATCCCAGTGAAAACACACAGGCTTTTTTTATGAGCAGATTGTGTCTTTACTGGCACAACTGTCATCAGGAATGGCACTGTCAGAGCAAGACAGCAGACTTCCACAACTGAAGCTACTAATGAGTTGATTTGATTTAGTCTTTAAGTTAAATAAGTCTTGATCTTACACTTCCTGAATTACCAAACTCACAAGACTACTTTTTTTATTTTATTAAAAACAAACCAAAACAAACCAACAACTCATGAACAATGCATAAACCAGATCAAGTCACTGATTTTTGACCCATGCACAGACCAATGTAGTAAGGTCTGGCCTTCGAGACTTCAATTCCAAAAGCCTTCACCCAGAAGGAAACCAATGGGAGCACTTGTGTAAGGAACTAAGCACCAGCATAAGAATGCTTGCAACTGGGATCTTTTTATAGAGTGCTTTGCTGCCTTCTCATTTCTTCATTTTTCATTTCCAGTACTCTTGGATATAAACGAGCCATACACTTTGCTTCAGCAGAACTGAAGTCAGCAATAATCCACTGGCATTGCTGCTGCCAAAGCAACAGGTGGGTGCTACAAACCTCTGCCTCACGTGCACCCTCCCCACAGGGCTGGGTTGCATACAGTCCATACAGTAAAACACACAGCAGCTCTCTGAGGAACTCTTCCAGAAAAGGGACTCTGTGCACAATATCTACTCCATGGGAAGCACAAGCAGCACCCCATTTTCACACCTCTGCTACAGAAAGCAGCACTGCTGAATTAAGAGGTTTCTGCACACTGTGGAGACCTAGAGGAATCTGAACCACATTTTTCACCTCCGAGTTTGCAACAGTCCCTCTCACTTAAATGTACGCTCTGTCCTCACTCTTCTTTTCTAAGCTTATTTATTATGCAAATACAATATTGTGCCTCAAAATCAGCTTCTTTCACTCCCTCAAATCAATTCCATTCTGATTTATCATGCTGATAGCTTGCTTCTGAAGGTTTCAGACAGTCTAGGAAAATCCCAAACAATTATCTAAATAAATGTTAGCATTAATTTAATATAGGGAAAATCCTACCCTGTCCTTCCTAGCCAATTGAGCATTAATGTCTCAAGCCTCTGCAGCTCTGAGTGCAGCCAAAATACTTGGCCATCTCTGATCTTTTAATCAGGACACTGTAGTGAACAGAGCCTTGTTAAGAGTCATAACGGATATTAATCTGGCCTCTGACTTTGGTCCTTGGATTGTCCTTGTTTGCTTGGATATCAGCACTGCATTGTTTGCTGGCATTCTTCACAATGGGCCAACTTCTCAATTATCTTGGTGTTGGGTATCATCTTTGATGTAGAGCTTCCACTCAGCTACCTTTTAAGCTCTGTGGTCCTCTAACCCTTTACCAGCCAGTCTCTGCCAAACTGCAAGGTTCACTTTGACAGATGCCAAAATCCCAGCCTGAACATTCACTGCTTTAAGGTTAATTACTGTAATGCACTGTACCATTTGGTGGCCTTCTTGCTTTCCTGCAAGTCATCTGCAGAGTACTCAAAAGGCAAGAGCAAGACTGCTGACCTGGAAGCACCCAGGCCACATCCATCTCCCCTAAAAGGCAGGATGAAAAACAAGGCACGCAGCAAGAGCCTGACTGAAACACACTTTTCACAATCTCTGCAGCTAAACAAGACACAGGTGTCTGAAGCTCAAGTTCTTTAGGGTCTCTGCACCTTGGCACGTAATGCAGAGATCAGAGACTTTTTAATCTCCAGTGCAGGAGCACCCAGTGAGATGTTCCAGTAACATTTGGAAAATATGGCCCAAACCACCAACTTTCCAGGAAAGGGGAAAATTCCTGGCAAGCATCCACTTGGAGGGGAGTAAGGCCAGGCCGTGCAGTTCAAAAGCAACCCTAACCACAGTCATGCCTCTTCACTGGACTTCCTGACACTAGCAAGGTTGGTGGGAGCACAGCACCAGGCATCTCCCACTGGCCGTGGGAACAATCAAGCCAAGGTAAAGCACCTGTTTTCACATAATTTCTACAGCCCAGACTCACCTGCCTTCCTTTTCCTGCTAAGCACAAACCTGACTAAGGCTGCTGACATGATGAAAAGGTCTCCTCTGAAAGGACACCTGTGTCCCTTCTCCTATCAAGGCTGGACCTTGTCATGCTGACAGTCTTGGGGAGGTTACTGTAGTGGGAGGTTTTGGCGCAAAGCCTGCACTGTTTGCAGTACTACTCTGTTTCCAACTTACGCTGGTTTCTTATCATTTATTTCAGGAGATAAGATTCATCTGCTAAAGCTCTAAAGAACTTCCATCATTGTGTCTCTCCCCTGAGCAGAGCCAGGTTAAACGTCTGCTTTGCTTGCCTAGCTAGGAGCCTTGTGCCATCCTCACAAACTTCACTGTCTCTGCTGCCTCTCTTCTTTCAGCCTCTGGTCTGGAACACCCTCCTCACCATGTGATTATTGCAAAGGCTTCTCCCAGACCTTTTTTTTTTTCCTCTTGGTATTTTTAGAAAGTAGCTCGGTTTGGTTTCACTGTCTGGGGCTGACTGCTTTTTTTGCCACAATTGAACTCTTCCCTCTTCTTCTGTGGAGGGTGCCCCAGAAAAAAACCTGCCTGGTTGGATGGGGTTGATAGATATTCAGCTTCTAGGTAAAAAAACAAAGTGGAATTAAGAGGAATCCTACACAACCCTGGTAACTGTCTGTGGACATGAAACACTAACATTGTGGCTTTTAAAATGTGGCCAAAGTTTGGACTATGTTAAAGACCTAAAAACACAAGACCATAATGAAAAATTTCACAGCAAACTAGGCGAATGTTGACTATTTTTAGCTTTTTTTTTTTTTGGGGGGGGGG